GATAGGGATTAAGTGGACCCATCAAGACGCTGATGGGGTATATAGGTGACCTACTTGGGACGCCAGTAGGGTATTTTGTGAAATCCTTTGAATTATGTACTGCCGTTAAAAGTGTTATGAGCATTTCAATTACACGGATTTTACTTAATTATGCATTTATTGAAAGTGAAACTATTGATGCATTTCTGTTAATAGATCTTCTTTTTGAAAATATTGATATCTTTCAACCATGATTATTTTTAGGATTATGATGATCACTTACTGAGTAGCCAAACTCATCAAACTATGGTAAACATTTTTCAGGATAACTGCGGTTTCATTTGTGTCTTCGTCAAGATCAACTTTGGGAAGATATTGTAGTTTTATTTAAACTTTCTTTTGTTACTTTGTAAGACCTCGCCTCTGTAAATTTGTCCTATCAATAGATGTATATATGTTTTGTCCGTCACATCTCAGGAATAATAGTATTGTAAATTCTTGGGGTGTGACAACCACATAATATGAGATTTCTTTATGTGGGTGATTTTGGATATCACCACATCCAAGGTTTATATAGAGGCCAAGAGACGGGTCAATTAAACGCGATAGTATTTTTTTGCTTCTCCGAGTCTCAAGCCTAAACAAATCAAGACTGCACTTATTAATATGGACCTCCTTGTACTAATGGTAAAAGAAATATTGTTTCGTACGGGGCTGGACTGCATTTGTACAATATGCGGTTCAAAGGTATAAAAGATCCATCTTAAAGATTGATGCAAATAGGTGGTCCATTTAAAAACAATTGTAACTAACGGTCCTAATGTTTTCTTAATATAGTTATTATTTTTAGTTTTTTTAAATTATTTATTTATTCACATTCAAGATCTCCATGTTAAAGATTTTATATTTTAAAATAATTAAGATTAAATTATATTTAAAACTATATATATATATATAAATTTTTTATATAAATAATTTATATATGAATTATTTTATATAAATTAATTGTAAATTTGGTGCGGTTAGTAAAAGAGGTCGATCTTGAACAATTGCAGTGAAAGATGGATACAAATAAGTAGTTCGTCTAAAAACAACGGTAACTAACGGTCCAAATGTTTTCTTAATATAATTATTATTTCTAGTTTTTTTTTTTAAAAATCATGTCCATGTTCTCTATGTTAAATATTATATATTCTCTAAAAATTAGAATCAAATTAGAATGATATGATTTTGATCAAACGGCCATATCTTGAGATTCCGGCATCTGATCGTCATGAAAATGGGCCCATTGCAACCGTGAGACAAAGGTAAACATTACTAAGTAAAATTCATGCAAGATGGAAGAACGGCTGACATGTAATTTCAAGTTTAAAGTAGCAAGTTTTTTGGTTGCCGGAATCTCATTTTTCAGCGATCCTCCCATTTGAGCAAGTGTTCAAATGACGATCAAATCGAACGATTTTTGTCACAAAATGATCATGATAAAATTCCCTTTAATTTGTAATGAAGAAATTGATCAAGAACCTATTAAATCGGGCTACACAAAGATTTGAAAATTTTCAAGTTCTTAAAGATGGCTGGAATTTGGATAATGAACAAAAAGTACAGTTCGGGCTTCATGATGTATATCAAAACGACATCGATGATTTGAATAGCATTTCTGCAATGATGGATTGTCAAAAAGAGTGCCGAAAAGCTTCCAAATTGACCTCAAAAGATG